CATTCATTTGGCTTCTTTCCCACAAGGTTCCTAAACTTGACTCAAGAGGAATGAATGGACATCTGTTTTCAGTGTTCCCAAACATTCTTTAAGGAGCAATAATTCCACAGGAATTGTGGGACACTTAGGGGGCAGTCTATACAAGCTCACAGAGAGAGGCTCTAACTCCACATGGAAGTTCACCAGCTAATATCTTCTAACCCAGCTAAATATCCTGTTATGAACTTCAGTGGACACTGTATTACTTAGGCAGGCCTCAACTGCCAAATCAAGACTCACTAATAATTCTGTGACTTAAATACACAAGTTTTGACTGGGCACAGTGATTCATTCTGGTAATCCTATCACTTTGGGAGGCCAAAGCAAGAAGATCACTTGAACCCAGACGTTTAAGACCAGCTTGTGCAACGCAGCAAAGACCCAGTCTCTATAAAAAAAGTTAGCTAGGCATGGGGTACATGCCTATAGTTCCAGCTACTCAGGAGGCTAAGGCAGGAAAATTGTCTGAGCCCAGAGTTTGAGGCTGCAGTGAGCTACAATAATGCCACTACACTCCAGCCTAGGCAAGACAGCAAGACACTGTATCACCAAAAAAAAGAAAAAAAGAAAAACATACATTTTTCTTTTTTTTTTTTGCATTTTTTGTCTGGGACCAGATTTGAACCCGCCACCTCCAGTATATGGGGCCGGTGCCCTACTCCTCTGAGCCACAGGCACCGCCCCTCCTTTTTTTTAGACAGAGTCTCATTATGTCACCCTTGGTAGAATGCTGTAGCATCAGAGCTCACAGCAACCTCAAACTCTTGGGTTCAAGTGATTCTCTTGCCTCAGCCTCCCAAGTAGCTGGGACTACAGGCACCAGCCACAACACCCGGCTACTTTTAGAGATGGGGTCTTGCTCTTGCTCTTGCTCAGGCTGGTCTTGAACCCGTGAGCTCAAGTAATCCACCCACCTCAGCCTCCCAGAGTGCAGGGATTACAGGTGTGAGCCATCACACCCAGCCTTTTTTTTCTCTTACGAATTCCACAATATGTTCTTCAGTCAGACATGCAACTTGACTCCATAAGGGTCACCAGCACTCCAGGCTGAAGGAAGCACTGCCTCCTGTAACTTCTACTTAATAGGTCACTTCCCAGGTCACTCTACTCATCACTATTTCATCCCCTAGGAAAGGGGGAATGGTGTGAGGGAGTGGACAGGTAATTTTTCATAAATCAATCATGTACATGGCACACATCCCATTCCCTTATAGTACAATGAAGAAGGCCAGGCACAGTGGCTCATACCTGTAACCCCAGTACTTGGTAGGATTGCTTGAGATCAGGAATTCATGAACAGTCTGGGCAATACAGCAAGACCCTATCACTACAAAAATACGTATATGTATACTATGTATTAGTTGAGCATGGTGGCACAAGCATGTAGTCCCAGCTACCCAGGAGGTCAGATAGGAGGACCGCCTGAGCCCAGGAGTTCAAGGCTGCACTGATGTATGATTGTACCACTGTGCTCTAGCCTGGCAACAGAGTGAGAACCTATCTCAAAAAAAAGAGAGAGAGAGAGAGAGAGAGAGAGAGAGGAAAGAGAGGGAAGGAGGGAAGGAAAGAAGGGAGGAAAGAAAGAAAAGGAGGGAGGAAGAGAGGGAGAAGAAAGGATAGGAGGGAAAGAAATTCTTATGAAGACACAAAAAAAATTCCTTTATTCCATGGGGCATTTTTTGTCATACCAAAAGACTTAAAACATCTTATAAAAGATTGTTAAATTATGAACCATATGTATCACAGAATACAATGTAGATGGCTCACATCTATAATCCTAGCCTATGGGAGGCTGGGGTGGGTGGATTGCTTGAGTTCAGGAGTTTGTGACCAGCCTGAATAGTGAGATCCCCTCTCATAAGAAGTAGCCGGGTGAGGGGGGCGCCTGTGGCTCAAAGGAGTAGGGCGCTGGCCCCATATGCCGGAGAGGGTGGGTTCAAACCTGGCCCCAGCCAAAAACTGCTAAAAAAAAAAAGTAGCCAGATGGTTCCTGTGGGCCTTTGTGGACTGCTACAGTGTTGATACTACTGTAATTATTAAACTGATTATTTTCCTTATGAAAAAAAAAATAGCCGGGTGTTGTGGCAGGCACCTGTAGTCCCAACTATTTGGAAGGCTGAGGCAAGAGGATCACTTGAGCCCAAGAGCTTGAGGTTACTGTGAGCTATGATGCCACAGCTCTCTACCCAGGATGCCAAAGTGAGACTGTCTCCAAAAAGAAAATAATACAATGTAGCCTTTAAAAGAAATGAGAATATTTTCTCATTCTCGTTGATTTTCCAATCAATGTCTACTGACCAGAAAATATCCAAATATTAACTTTAAAAAGTAAAATGCTGGCTCAGCACCAATAGCACAGTGGTTACAGTGTCAGACACATACACTGAGAATGGTGGGTTCAAACCCACCAGGTCACCCAGGTCCCTCTACTCATCACTTCCCATCACCCTGGCCAGCTAGACAACAATGACAACTGCAACAAAAAATAGCCAGGCACTGTGGCAGGTGCCTGTAGTCCAGCTGCTTGGGAGGCTGTGGCAAGAGAATCGCTTAAGCCCAAGAATTTGAGGTTGCTGTGAGCTGTGATGCCACAGCACTCTACCAAGGGCTACATAGTGAGACTCTATCTCAAAGAAACAAACAAACAAATAAATAAAAAGTAAAATGCAGAACAAAATGTTTAGAATGCTACCACTGGAAGGTGGGGCAGCAAATAGAATTTCATATATAATATGTATCTATAGACTTACATAGAGAGAGAAAATTCCTGGAAGGAAGAATATAAAAGAAATTGAAAAAGGTTTCTAGGTAGGGATATCAGAATATTGGAAGACAAAGCAGGAGAGAAGTTTACTTTTCACCATATACTCCTGCATATATTTTGAATTTGGGCAACATATATGTGCCATCTACTTTTTAAATAATTAAAAATTAAATCAAGAAAAAACATAGACATAAAAATGTTTGCCTTTACTGCCATTGGTAACCAACCCTTCTGAATAACATGATTTTCTAGAAAGCTCCAAAAATATTCTTTTTTTTTTTTTTTTTGAGACAGAGCCTCAAGCTGTCCCCCTGGGTAGAGTGCCATGGCATTACAGCTCACAGCAACCTCCAACTCCTGGGCTCAAGCGAGTCTCCTGCCTCCGCCTCCCAAGTAGCTGAGACCACAGGCGCCTGCCACAACGCCCGGCTATTTTTTGGTTGCAGCCGTCATTGTTGTTTGGCGGGTCCGGGCTGGGGATTCGAACCCGCCACCTTAGGTGTACGTGGCTGGCGCCTTAGCCAGTTGAGCTATAGGCACCGAGCCCAAATATATTCTTAATCAGGGACAGTTCTACTAACCTAGGAGCTATTTTATATTTTCATATATTTCCCAACTCTGTTACGTGTCAAATTCCCAGAGATACTTATTTGTTTTCATAGTCAACTTAAAATTTTATTTTAGTCCTCTGCTTTTTTTTTTTAAAAGATCCTCTTTCCAAACAAAACTCTTTCACACGTTTGAATATAAAGAGAAGGAAATCTGACCTCAAAGGAAAATAAAGCACAGAGAGACACAAGAAATAATCCCTAAACCTGATAAACAAATTTGAAAAAAATCTTATAAGGGAACCTTAGTGAAAACTGACAGAAATCTCACTCATACAAGCTGAAGAGAGGAAGGAATCTGCAGGTTCAAAGAACTGGGAAGTTAAGAAGTTGGGGCTGCCTTTAAGCACAGATAGATTGGGGGGGGGTGCCCTCGGGGTCCTTGCTGTGCTTTGGTATTCTGCATTATGCTACTCTCCTGCACAGTCAAGATGCTGCCTGCCCCCCATCCCCTGTCTCCAGGGCCTCTAGCTTATTAGCAACCCCAGTGGAGAAAGTACTTCTCTCGCTGAAAATCAATACAGCCAATCCAGAGGCTACTTTGATCAGTCATTCATAGACCTGTCCAGGGGTGGGGCTCAAGCCTGGCCCAGCTAAGGCTATTTGCCAATACCTATGAGCAATCAGGACTACATGAAAATGCACAAAGAAAAGTTCCCCAAAGCGCAATTTAGGAATGCTGGGTAGAAAAAACAAGAGATGCCCACTTCCGACAAGTTAAGATTATGATCACTGAATAGCCTCAAAACCATAAAACTTCATTCCCTACACTAATTAGAAGTAACAGATTTTCAATTTCACAGCAAAGTGGCTGAGGAGTTCAAACCTCCACACAGACATTGTCTTATTTGTTTGTACTAGACACACTCTTGAATACTAGATTGGAAACATATTCATAAAATTGACCCCCCAAACACCAAAAATGCAATTTGTGAATCAGATTATAATCCACTGGTACCTCTACATTTTCCTCAGGACAAAGTATTTAGCTCTAATAACTTAAGAGGTTTTATATTTTTTTTTTCTTGGGGGGGTGGTGACAGTTTTTGGCCGGGGCCAGGTTTGAACCTACCACCCCTCAGCATATGGGGCCAGCGCCCTACTCCTTGAGCCACAGGCACCATCCGAGAGGTTATATTTGTATTCTTCTTATCAAAAGTACACTTACTTTCTCCCTGAATCTTCCTGATCAACTGAACCAATTGGATTAAGTGATGACTCCTTAGACTAATTCTTGAGTAAACGATCACAGTTGTATACTCTAACACAAAAGGCAAAGGATTCCTTTTAAGTGGTAGTTTCTTAAGTAGAAAACTCATCTGAAAACAGAAGCTTAGACATCCTTGCTGTAAGAAGTTGTTTTTATGGCAGAACCATGATAACATAAATGAGAGCTAGTACTACATGCCACTTTAATGCCAAGTATATTTTATCTGGAATTGTATGATTAAACCCAAATGACCAGATCATCTTCAAGAAGGCACATGTGATAAATATATTTTAAAGCCAAGGTTCTCACCTATAATTAAGACATTCTTAGGTGTTTCAGATCATCAAGAGTGACACAAAAATCTACAAAACAAAATTAATTAATTTTAAATCAATTTTATTTAAAACCATATATAAATAGGCCAAATAACACACAAGTCTGAAAGGGCTGCAATCTTTTTAACAATATAATAGTCCAAAAAGACTAATACTTGTTGCTGATTCAGCTCACAATTACCATCCCTTTTCAAGCAACAGCACATTCGCTAGAAAACATTTTATGGGCACCTTTTAGGGCTTTAGAGATTCACAGAGCAATAAGCCACAACCTTGCCCTCAAGGAGCGTACAATGTAGCTGGAAAGACATAAGCCATCCAGAACAGATACAGGGTCTGGCTCTGAGACCATACCTCTATCTTAACAAGAACGGTCACTGGCATAAGTCATTATATGTTTTAACAAATGAGCCACAGGAATAGCTTAGCAATTATACACTAAATCAAGTTTCAACTTCACATATTAAAAAAAAAGCTGAATTACAGTTCACTTATAATATTTGTTTTCACTCATGTTTCCACTCAATTAAATTAAAAAAGAAAAACATAATTCCAAGCCAACTGTACCACAGGATAGTTTACTATCCTAAATGAAGGGATAGCTTGTTCATGTCCTAGAATTTTTCCATAGTTCCACATCCTCATGTCAAGTTCAGTAGTTCTTACTGCCAAACCGATGCACAAATTCAGATAGTGTGTAGACTGCTCCCCATCCTACCTCAGGATCCATACTGATGAAATCATTCAGGTTCATTTTGGAATCTAGAAAGAGATGGAAAAAATGTCCACTGAAAACACAATTTTGGTTTACTAGCAATAAAACAATCCAAAAGAATAAAACTAGGGGAATTTACTCAAATAAACAAGGGTTTAATTATCACCTCTGTGGTTTTCTTGCCTCAAATGTGTAACCTCAATGTGATCACAACAAAACATCACACAAACCCAAATCAGGGGACAGAGAGGGCAGAGACTCAGAAAATAGGGAACTGTACAGAGTGAAAGAGTTTCAGAGATCTGCAGAGGGGACTCCCTGAGCCTTTGGCTAAGTACTGACTTCCTTAAGGAAAGAGACACTAGAAACAGCAGGTCTAAAAATTCCCAGAACTTTCACAGAGCTAGGAATAATTCATATCCTTACTAGCCAGAGCAGACAGAAGCTGTAACACATAGCATTTGGTAGAGTCCTCAAAAGGATCATACGCAATGGGGCTAAATCAGCCTAGATAAAAGAATGCTTTGAACCTGTACTAAACAAGTTTAAAAGCACATCCAATTGGTTCTGAGTAAATTAACTGCATGCCAGAACAAAATCCAACACTATTTCTTAAAGTACCTAAAACACTGTAAAATTCACAAAGCATTTAACCAAATTATTAACCAACCACACCAGGAAATAGGAAAATATGACCCAAAACCAAGAGAAAAACCAAACAACAGAAACAGAATGAAATGACAGGGATAATGGAATTAACAGACAGAGACTATAAAACAGTTATTATATTGTGCTCCATTATGTTCAAAAGGGTAGAGTAAAACATGCACGTGAAAAGAAAAATAGAAGATATTTAAAAAGCCCCAAGACCGGGCTGGCGAGCTGGATATATGATCCAGAGTGGTAGAAATCTAAGAAATTAGGCAAGTGATTGCAACCAACTGGGATCACCTGGTCCCCCCCATGGAGGAAGCCATTCCAGAGTTTTCAGTTGTTAGGGGAAGCTGCACGTTGAGTGGAAAGCTTGGAAAAGTGGGTGGACTCGAACCGTATACAGCAACCAGATTTGAATGCTGGCTAGACTAGATTTGCCATAGGTTTTGTGGCTGGCAAGGCAGCCATATCTGAGGTCTTGGTGGCCAGAGGGCTGCCACTGGGGGAAGGTTGTGAGAAAGTCTTAGCAGGGGCCTAAAGCACGGCTGTATTAATTCTGCTGCCGGGATCAGAACTCCACTCTTGGAACAGGTAGAGAGACTCCTACTCCATGAGAACTGGAGTCAGGGGGTACTCTGAGACCTGCCCCTGAAGGATTCTTGTGAGCTTTAAGATCCCAACCTGGAAGGGTCTGAATGCTGAGGAAACAAACACACAATGACTGAAGGCAACTAAGTTTGGAGTAAGAACCATAAAGGTCGCTGGCTGTGCTGTCTCCCAAAAAAAACACAGTGTAACTTGGTGTCCTGGCAACATATTGCAACATATTGTCATCAAAAGCAAGTACTTCTGTTTATTTGGCCATAAGGAAGAGTTTGGCTTTGCTCAGGCTGAGGCCACTTCAAGACCTAAGCTCTGGCTGGGCACGGTGGCTTATGCCTGTAATCCTAGCACTCTGGGAGGCCGAGGTGGGTGGACTGCTTGAGCTCACGAGTTTGAGACCAGCCTGAGCAAAAAGCAAGACCCCATCTGTGCTAAAAATAAAAAAACTGAGGCAAGAGGATCGCTTGAGCCCAAGAGTTGAAGGTTGCTGTGAGCTATGATGCCATTGCACTCTACCCAGTGTGACAGCTTGAGACTCTGTCTCAAAAATAAATAAATAGGCTCAGAGCCTGTGGCTCAAGTGGCTAAGGTGCCAGCCACATACAGCTAAGGTGGCAGGTTCGAATCCAGCCCGGGCCTGCCAAACAACGATGGCTGCAACCAAAAAAACAGCACTCTACCCAGGGGGACAGCTTGGGGCTCTGTCTCAAAAAAATAAATAAATAAAAATTAAAATTAAAAAGGTAAAAAATAGGTTAGACCATAGAGAAGAAAGAACCTCAAAACTAAAGGATAAAGTTTTCAAGTTAACCCAGGTAAAGAGGCAGAATAGAAGAGAGAGAAAGCAGAATAGGTGCTTAGAAAACTATGAGACTTCATGAAGCATTCAAACATACCAATAATAGGGATTCCTGAAGGGGAAGAAGATTGTCCCAAAGGAATGGAAGCCCTACTGGAGACTATCATAAATGAAAACTTCCCAAGTTTTTACTAAAGATCCTGACACACTCCTTTCAGATAGATCCCATATCCCGGGCCATCTCAATTCAAACAGAGTTTCTCCAAGACATATTGTAATGAACCTGTCCAAACTCAAGATAAAAGAAAAAATTCTGCAAGCAGCCAGGAGTAAGTACCAACTGACCTACAGAGGCAGAGCCATTAGGATGACAGTAGACTTTGCAAATGAAACCTTCTAAGCCAAAAGAGCATGGTCATCCACCTTCGACATTTTTAAACAAACAATTTTCAGCCCAGAATTGTGTATTCTGCTAAACTAAACTTCAAAACTGATTAAGAAATCAAATCTTTTGCAGATACATAAGCACTGAGGAAATTCGCCACAAGACTAGCTCTCTGGGAAATACTTAGACCAATTCTCAACACTGACCATCAAAATGGACCACCAGCAAAATAAACACCCAAAAGCCAAAGGTCAAAACAGCTTCCACAATGGTGCAAAGTTTAAAACTACACAATGGACTCTCACAAAATAAGATGAATAGAACTCCACCACACTTACCAATTCTCTCAATAAATGTCAATGGACTGAATTCACCACCAGCCAGCACAGGCTGGCTGATTAGATAAAAAAGCACAAGCTATCCATATGCTGTTCCCAGGAGACACACCTAGCCTTGAAGGAAAAATAAGACTCAGAGTTAAGGGATAGAAAACAGTATTTCAAGCAAATGGAAGTCAGAAGAAAGGAGGGGTTGCAATCTTATTTTCAGATACAAGCAGATTTAAAGCAACTAAAGAAAGACAAAGAGGACACTTGATACTGGTCAAAGGTACAAACAACAAGAAAACATTTCAATTTTAAATATTTATGCACCCAATTTAAATGCTCCCAGATTTATGAAACAGACCTTGATGGGTCTGAGCAATATGATATCCCATAACACTATAATAGTCAGGGACTTTAACACCCCTCTGACAGAACTGGACAGATCCTCTAAACAGAAACTAAACAGAGATACAAAGGACTTAAATGTAACTCTAGAACAAATGGAATTAATAGACTTATACAGAATACACCATTTCAAAGCTTATACAGATCTTATACAGAAGACTTATACAGAACATACCATCTCGAAGCTAAAGAATATATATTTTTCTCATCATCCCAGGTACGTACTCCAAAATTGACCACATCCTAGGATACAAATCAAACCTCAGCAAAATTAAAAGAATAGAAATTATATCTTATATCTTCTCAGACCACAGGCCATAAAAGTGGAACTCAACTCCAACAAAAAAGTTCATTCCCCACACAAAGACTTGGAAATTAAACAACTTATGATGACTGATAGTTGGGTTCAGGAATAGATAAAAGAGGAAATCGTTAAATTCCTCAAGCATAACAACAATGAAGACACAAGTTACCAAAACCTGTGGGATACAGCAAAAGCAGTCTTAAGAGGGAAATTTATCACATTAGATGCCTATATCCAAAAAACAGAAAGAAAGCACATCAACAAACTCATGAACCATCTTATGGAATTAGAAAAATAAGAACAACCTAATCCCAAACCCAAAAGAAGAAAAGAAATAACCAAAACTAAATCAGAGATTAATGTAATTAAAAACAAAAGAATCATTCAGAAAAATTAATGAAACAAAAAGTTGGTTTTTTGAAAAAATAAATAAAATCGGTAAACCTCTGGCCAGATTAACCAGAAACAGCCTAAATGCCCACCAATCCAGGAATGGATTAACAGGCTGTGGTATATGTATACCCTAGAAGACTATTCTGCCACTAAAAAATATGGAGACTTTACATCTTTTGTATTAACCTGGATGGAGGTGGAACACATTCTTCTTAGTAAAGCACAGAGAAACAAGAATCCAATGTACTCAATTCTAATATGAAGATGAGCTAATACAAGGGGGGAGAAAGGGAATGAGCACTTGGGTAGAGGGGAGGAGAGAGGGGGATGGGGGGGTCCCAGTATATGATGGCACATCTCTTGGGAGCGGGACACAATTATAAGAGGGACTTAGTAACAAATGCAATCAGCATAACCTAATTCGTTGTATGCTCAATCAATCTCAAATTTTAAAAAAAATTAAAAAAAAAAGAAATCCAAAGGAATGGTCCAAACAGGCCTGGTGTCTTCTAAATGCCTATTGGAAGTCTAGGCTCTGTCTTAGGTGCTCACATCTAAAAGAGAAACAAGTAGCTGGTGAAGGCACTCTGCGCCCAGATCAGGCCCTATATAGCAGGTCGCTGAAGACTGTAAGGTAGACCCATGGAGCCCTCCTAGACAAGGAGCTTTCCCAGCTCTAGCACTTGGGGGCAATTCCAATATAAATTTTAAAAATTATAACAGCTTTCACAGAGAGCCTTGGAAATCAGAGTTTGAACCTTCTTTTAATGTTCACACCATTCAAATATGCCAAATACACTTTTTACTTTCTTCTGGGAACTATTAATACTACTGCCCTGCTTTTCTGGCATGCTGTATAACTTATAGAGCACTTTCACATAAACCGTGTTATCCACACGTTGGGATGATCTCACCAATAAATGGGAATGTTGTGAATTACTTGTGAATCACTTGTTGTGAATTATTTGTGAATCACAAATAATGTTTCAAACTCATATGAATGCCAAACAATAATAATAAAGAAACCTTTATCTTCCTTAAATCTCAAGAAATTGTCAATTGGACCAAGGCCTAAAAGCACATAAATAAATGAGACAAGTGGTACAATAAAACCTGCCAGTGTTCACCTCCCTTTAACACAGACTTATTACAGAGTCAGAGAAATGACATTTCACACTTCATAAGCATGCAATGGGGATTTTTTTCTTTTCTTTTATTTTTTTTGAGACAAGAGTTTCGACCCTGTTGCCCTGCTTAGAGTGCCATGATGTCATAAGTCACAGCAACCTCAACTCCCTCAACTTGAGGGATCCACTTGCCTCAGCCTTCCTAGTAGCTGGGACTACAGGCACCCAGCACAATGCCCAGCTAGTTTTTTTTATTTTTATGGTAGAGACAGGGTCTCACTCTTGCTCAGGCTGGTCTTGAACTCAGCTGGTCTTGATCCTCCTACCTCAGCCTCCCAAAGTGCTGGGATTACAGGCACCTGGCTGGGATTTCTTACATCGTACCATGGCAAGGTGTTATTAGTCCCACTGTTAAGGGACACAGCATGGAGATCTGATGTCCAGTGTCCCAGCAGGACCACATCCAATAACCCAACAGTCTGCAAGTACCATGGTTCTGCTCCTTAACACCCTTCCTCTCCTGTGCATTCTAATGCCTTCCAATCCTCTTCTCTGTGCCTCGACTTCTCAATCTAATGAACAAACAGAACTAGTATTCCCCTTACCTCCTTAACACTCAGACAGTTTTACCCAAAGACCTATTTTTGTCCTTGAATGAGAGAAAATGTTGACCTTTACCATGAGGGATCAGAAACCCCTCTGAGAAGGCATCCTGGGCTCACCTCCAGTTTCAATGCAGGGATATGGTGGGGGAGGCTCTCTCCAGTTCCCACTGGAGTCTTTCATGTGAGATCGGTCAGAAGCGAAATTCTTCAAATATAAATCTGCACGGATAACTCTGAATTTCCTGAAGATAGATCAACATACACCTAAACTAGGGAAATGTCACATTTGAAATTCTAAGTCAATGTTTACATGAACTCATATTCTATGTTGGCAAGCCCCTGCAAGCAAGCACTTTTTTTTTAAGACAGAGTCTCACTCTGTTGTCCTCACTAGAGTGCTGTGGCATCATAGCTCAGAGCAATCTCAAACTGTTAGGCTCAAGTGATCCTCTATCCCTCAGCTTCCCAAGTATCTGGGACTACAGGCATAATACCCAGCTATTTTGTTATAGACAGGGTCTTGCTCCTGCTCAGGCCGGTCTCAAACTCCTAAGCTCAAGCAATCCACCAGCCTGGGCCTTCCAGAATGCTAGGATTATAGACGTGAGCCACCACACCTGATCTAGAACTCATTTTCTATGATACATGCTAAACTACTCAGGCATTTCTTCATTGCTAATAACATACAAATACATATGCAGCTTTTTGTTTTGGGGAGGGGGTTTGGAGACAGAGTCTCACATTATCGCCCTTGGTAGAGTGTCGTAGCGTCACTGCTCATAGCAACCTCCAACTCCTGGGCTTAGGTATTCTCTTGCCTCAGCCTCCCGAGTAGCTGGGATTTTTTTTTTGAGACAGAGTCTCATTTTGTCACCCTCGGTAGAGTGCTGTGGTGTCACAGCACACAGCAACCTCCAGCTCTTGGGCCATACACAGCTTTTTTACCTATTAAAGAAGTTATAGGAAAGGATCTACTGAAATCCAAAACAGAAAGGCAAAGCCACAGAAATATATCAGGTTGCCTTTATTTATGCAATTGTGTCTCGAGGGCATAGGGCATGATTTTCTGGTACTGCCATCACAGCCTTTTCAATTTGGACGGCATGAGGCATCTGCCCAAATAAAAGAGTATGAAAGAAATCCTCAACATGCTTCAAATAAATTGTCTGAAATCTCATCACTCAACATTTTTATTTTTATTTTTTTTGAGACAATGTCTTGCTCTGTCACCCAGGATAGCATGCAGTGGCATCATCATAGTTCACTGCAGCCTTAAACTCCCGGGCTCAAGTGATCCTCCTACTTTGGAATCTCAAAATGCCAGGATTATAGGCGTGATGCACCTCATCACACAAATTTTAAAGACTGCTAACCTTTTATATGATAGAAAACATGTAAAGCTTTAAAATGTTTTCAATCTCCTGTGTAGCAAGCATATCATTCTCAAATATTAGCTCAATGGTGATGCCAAACAAGTGATCTTTACAAAACAAAAGAAAAAGAAAAAGAAAAAGAAAAAAATAAAAAAGAACCTCTGCAGAATTGTCAAGGCTTATTTAGTTCAGAAAATAAGCAAATCCATCCTGAATTTCCTTACCTCCTAAACTGTGGGTGAATGTCATCCTCAGACTTAAAGGCATCGTCTACGTAAGTATCGAATGGGCAGGGAAACGGCAAGACAGTATCGAGATCATAAATGAAGCTCTGTCCTCCACTGGAAACATGAAGCAAAACCACGTGGTAATCCTGGAAGTAAAAGTAGCTGGAGTTACTTTATGAGAGTGAAATGAAGGTTCCAGAAGTGATGCACACATATTATCACAGAAGCTCAAAGCTAATACAACCTTTCTTCCAACAGCAAAATCAAACACAAAACCCTGTGGACAGACTACGTGCTCACTGACAGGAAATGGTTAAGTAAATAATGAAAATGTTCATATAACTAAACATACACCCTTTGATCCGTCTATTTTACCTCTAGGAAACCATCTTACAGAAAAATGGCCACAAACATATAAAGATATATATGCAAAGAAAATCTCTGCAGCACTGTTTATAATAGTGAAAATTCGGAAACAGCTAGAAGTCCATAAAAGCGGGGGACAATTAATATGCTAAACCATCCCGGGCAACACAGCAAGACCAGGTCTCTACAAAAAAATTTTTGAATTAGCTGGGCATGGTGGTACATGCATGCCAATCTAGCTACTTGAGAGGCTGAAGCGGGAGGATCTTGTAAGCCCAGGAATGCAAGACTGCATGCAATAAGCCATGATCCAGCCACTGCTCTCCAACCTGGGCGACAGAGCAAGACTCTGTCTCTAGCAAAATAAAATAATATAAATTATGATACAGCCATTAATGGAATACTATGCTAAAATGCTTTTATTTATAGAATACTTCTTCTTGCTAAAAAGAAATAAGCTTATACAGAAAACGGAAAAATGTCCATGCTATACAGTTAGACAGAAAGAGCAAACTGCAGAGAATGGGTGACATATTATTTTATAAAGGCCGAGCATATGTAAGACCACACATGGGCATTCAGAACCACATTCACACACATGAACCTGAATGTGGGGGGAAAAAATCTACAAGAATATCCCCTGATCTACTAACCAAGGGGACTTCTGGAGGTCAGCCTGGAGAGGAGAAAGACTTTTAGTCTCTGGTTTTGTACTACTTTTGTAATTAAAAGAAAGAATAAAATATATTTTAAAAAACAAGTTAGCCAAGCCCTACTCTATAGCCACCAAGGGAAAAAGAAAAAGATGGCTTCTCCCACACAGCCTGGTGACAGCGTGGATGTCAATTTTCACTCTCACTCCCAGACACCAGGCGAGGCACTGCCCAACATCAGTGGAGGGTTGAAACAGACGTCAGGGAGGTTATTAAGGGACATGAGCACAGCTCTCAATTCCTCAGGGGAAAAAAAAGCTCTTACAGAAAATAGCGCTGTGAAATAAAAACAACCTAACAACATTAGTAATGCCATCTCAGATTGCTACACCACTTCCTGGAGTTTACAAGGGTCTTTTTCAAACATTATTTCATTTGGACCCTGCAAAAAGCTTGTGAGGCCAGAAAGACGGTTCAGACTAGAGATGTTATGCCTTAGAGCATGAAGGCTGCCTTTGGCTCTAACTCTATCTTGGAGAAACCATGTCAGAAACAAATACTTCTTTCCTGTATTCCTCTAAGCGGGTTCTATCCTCCATTCCCCCCAGACAGGCCACTATTCCTTCCTCTGGGCTTCTCATGTCATTCCCTTCCTTCCAACTGTAGTAGTAACCTTCTCTCTACCATACCAGCTCCGCCTAAAAAATCCATTTTTTTTGAGACAGTGCCTCAAGCTGTTGCCCTGGGTAGAGTTCCATGGCATAACAGCTCACAGCAACCTCCAACTCCTGGGCTTAAGTGATTCTCTTGCCTCAGCCTCCCCAAGTAGCTGGGACTACAGATACCCACCACAATGCCTGGCTATTTTTTGGTTGTAGTTGTCATTGTTGTCAATGTTGCCCAGGTTGGATTCGAACCCACCAGCTCTGGTGTATGTGGCTAGTGCCTTAGCCACTTGAGCTATGGGTGCCAAGCCATAAATCCATTTCTTACCTTCTCCCACCCCCTCCCAGAAGTAACCTCTGCCATATCCACAATCTGTTCCTCTCTTAACACTTTTAAACTCATATTACAATTTTCTGAAGTACACACCTCCTGTTATTTACAGGAGACTGAGCTGCTGGACTGTAGATACAAAGATGAGAAACAGACGTTCTTACTCTGGAGGAATTCTCAGATAATTGAGCAGAAGTCATGAGTAAATTGTTGTTGCGGTACAGTGTGGTAAGGAGAGAGAGCAGCAGAGGCAGGAGAACACAAGGGCAAGAGTAGTTAAGCCGCTGGTCCAACCTCAAGCCCTCTTCTTATCAGCCTCAGTTTTCTCTTTCATGAAATGCAAATAACTGCAGTGTCTATTTTCATAGTGTTAGTGGGAGCATTTGTATGTACATGGTTGACTTTTTTTTTTTTTCTGGAGACAGAGTCTCACTCTGTCACCCCAGGTAGAATGCCCTGGTGTCATAGCTCAATCTCTTGGGCTCAAGCAATCCTCTTGCCTCATCCTCTCAGGTAGCTGGAACTATAGTCACCTACCATAACGCCCAGCCAGTTTTTCTATTTTTAGCAGAGACAGACAGGGTCTCACTCTTGCTCACACTTGTCAAGAACTCCTGAGCTCAAGCAATCCACCTGCCTCAGCCTCCCAGAGTGCTAGGATTACAGGTGGGAGCCACCACACCTGGCCTAATGGTTGACCTTTTTAAAAGCCAGCCAAGAAAGGAAGTGGATGGGGACCCAAGTGTTAACCCCTTTGTTTAACTCCCTGTAGCTTTAAGAGTTTTTTCACAGCACTTCCAAAGACCATATTGCGAGGACTGTGATAAGCCAGCCCTCACAGAGAAGGGGGGGGGAAAAAGAAGGAAAAGCAGACACAGCCGCTTCATACGTCTGTTATCTGCTGGCAGCCTTCACTTTTTCTTTCTCTTTATCCCCATAAAAACCATAACCCCTTACCCCCTCTGTCTCATGTGCCACACCCTTTCCCACCTTGGGAATTAAAATAAACTTTTTACTTCCTTCTATCCTAATTTTTGTGCTGAGAATTCTTTCTCATCCAGTGCTAACATTAAATAAATGAGTGAAGCCAATTGAAATGATACGGTAATTTTAAGTAAGTATCCAATAACTAAAAGTTTGTTACATTATCATTCCACTCTTCAGGGGACAGGACAGATTGTACTGGAAAACACCCAAGTCTAAGACCCAGTTCTGCCTGTGACCAGATACACGATTCCAAGCTACTCATCTTGCAATGAGTAAAAAGTGAAGAGGTAGGGTAGATCCGTGTTCTTCACCTTTTTTTTTTTTTTTTAGACAAGAATCTTATTCTGTCAACCTAAATAAAGTACCCTGGCATCATCAAAGTTCACAGCAACCTCAAACTCTTGGGCTTAAGCAACCTCTTGCCTCAGCCTCCTATGTAGCTAGAACTACAGGCATGGGCCATTACACTTGGCTAGTTTTCTAATTTTAGTTCAGATGGTGTCTCGCTCTTGCTCAGGCTGGTCTTGAACTCCTGAGTTCAATCAGTCTACCCACCTTGGTCTCCCAGAGCACTAAGGTTAAAGGCATGAGCCACTGCACCCAGTGGATCCGTGCTCTTTAAATGCCAGTTATGTTCATCTCGGAGTTGGTAACAACACTAAATCATGAGGAACCCCTCTCTAAATCTTCTAAATCAGAAAACTGTATTTTTAACATAGTCTCCAAATAATTCTAATGTGCAGCCAGACTATGTATTGCTAAAGTTCCTTCCTGTGCTAAATAGATGGTAGTCTAGGAGTCAGAAATATACCTACCACATTAACCATTTAAAATCATTCCTGTAGGCCAGGCATGGTGGCTCATCCTGTAATCCTAGCACTGTGGAAGGCTGAGGTGGGTAGATCACTTGAGCTCAGGAGTTCAAGACCAGCCTGAGCTAGAGCAAGATCCTGTCTCTACTAAAAATAGAAAAAAACTAACTAGGTATGGTGACATGAGCCTGTAGTCTCAGCTACTCAAGAGGCTGTGGCAAGAGGATCACTTAAGCCCAAGAATTTGAGGTTGCCGTGAGCTATGATGATGCCATAGCACTCTACCCATGGTGATAGAGTGAGACTCTATCTCAAAAACGAAAAAAATCATTCCTATAATAATTTCAAAGTGAAAAGTTAAAAGAAAATATGCCTATAGTGTTTCTACCCTAGACCAAATAACATCTTTTCTCCAAAAATCAATTTATTAATAATTATCATCACCTTTCGCTCCTGCCCCAGCCATTTCTTACGTTACTAAAACATAAAGAACACTCAGGGGTACAATTAATAATGCACCAAAGGCTCTTTGTATTGACCATCTTACCCAGATCACAGGTCCATTTCCAGGTCTTGCCTGTTGTTTCCAGATAGGTATCTAAAAAAATACAAAGCCACACTTTCAGTTAAGCCACTACCAAATTTTTTTTTTAAATTTTTTAGACACAGGTCCTGCTATATTGCACAGGCTGAAGCACAGTGGCTGTTCACAGGTGCAATCAGAGCGCACTACAGCCTTGAACCCCTGGCCTGGAGCAAGCAGCCTCCCAAGTAGCTGGATCACTAGTGCACACCCACTGGTCCCAGCCATTAAAGAATGAATAAGTAAGAAGAAATCTAAACCCTTCTAAGTGTAAGTGTCCTCAATAAGAAAAGCTCACAAAACCACAATTTATTGTATAACGTCCTTTGGAGAGTGCAAAGAGACTTGGCCGAGGAATCAGAAGTCTTGGCAGATTCAAGTCTTGCTTTCCCACTTAATTACTCGTGGGTCCTCTCTGAGTATTTCCTCACCTATAAAACAAGGAAGTAGTCCACATCCTGCCTACTTCACAGGGCTTCCATTAAGATCAAATGAGATCCTGCTTACAGAAGTGTTTTACAAAATACGCAAGGCTTCCTTTTTCTAACAATTTCTATAGGGTTACTGTAGTTCTACTTAAACTCTAGAGACAAATCTTTACTTCAAACCTGAGAGTATCTGGCTCTAATTTAAGCAATTTAAAAGTCTCTAAATTGATACCTAAAGGGACTGCATCTATGTAAACATACCATCACATATTTCCTTACCTACGAGTAAGGGACTAAACTCTTCTAACTCAACCGTGCCCTGCAAGGAAAAAAATTTCATTCAAAACCACACTTTAAAATGTTGCTGTATTTTATAAGGCACACTTCAGAAAAGTACTAAACCCATGCTGTATTTAGCGTCTAATGTCATCCTAAATCTCTTATTCTCTTTCTGCAATCATTCACCTACTTACCATTTTTCTCTCGTTAGATATGAAGACAGCGTAACACTCCTCTAAAGGATACTGGTCATGGTTTTTGATGTATTCACAGAGCTTCCAAATATTTTCTTCACTGAAATAAAATAATTGTTTACTCAATATGGGGGAAACACTGGACGTGTCTTTCAAATGCCAACAAAAGACTGATAATGATATTAAAAGACTCAGCAGTTCAATAAAAAGACTAAGTCCTAAGGTTCTGTGTCTCTATAGGAAGACTAGAGTTCACAATAACATATTACATAGTTTCAATAGCTACGAGGGTATTGAATATTCCCAACACAAAGAAATAATAAATGTTCAAGATGATCAATATACTAATTACCCTGGTCTGATCACCATACATTATATGTATCTAAACATCACTATGTGCCTCATGAATATGTACAATTATTATTTGTAAATTGGAAAAAAGTTGGAAGAGATCTTTATAACATCATCTTATCCAACAATGCCTAATATTTGAATCTCTTCTAAAACATCCCAACAAGCTGTTATCCAAAATGTATGTGAATAACCCTTGGACACAGACCTCATTACCTCCCACAGCAGTGCCCAGGTACGGAGGTACTTTATAACTGATAAATACAACACTGCATTAATATTCTGTAAGCTTTCAGTCCAGGGACTTGAGATCCAGCCATAATTCCAACTCAGGTGCCTACGAGGTAACAGGGTCTGAACATCTTAATTTCTCTGAGAATCTGCTTTTCTCATCTGCCCATCTGTAAAATGAGCATAATCACATCACGTTGTAAGTGCAAAATAAATTTTAGTTAACACCTGCTCCCCTTGGAAATGGGGCAGGATGGGTGTTTTGGGCAGTAGGACTCCTAACTGGAAAGGATCATGTGCAAGTATGTGGCATGTCCAGGAACTCTTTCAGAGAGTGTCCCTATGAGTGGGATTGCCCAATGCCTTCTAATAAGGAGATCTGACTTTTAGAAAGATCTGCCTCATACTGAATTGAAAACAATTACTCTACACTTCTGTCCCAGATGAATCTCCCTTCCATATGATAGGCCTTTGACTATTTGAAGCAGCAGTCACAACCCACCTAAGTAAAGTGACATCGGGCAACATAATCAGTGAACGGTAAGTGAGCCGCACTCCCCTGTACAAACAACCAGTCTCTCAGCAGTAAGTGAGACACAATGCCGTGCACAAACAACCAGACTCAGAGCAGTAAACGAGCCGCACTTCCCTGCACAAACAACCACAGTCTCTGAGCAGTAAGTGAGACACAATGCTGTGCACAAACAACCAGTCT